AAGAACCTACTTTCAGTATCGAATGGTGGCTGACCGACAAGTAACGTATAAATCAATATTCCTAGAGACCATACATCTGTCTCAAAACTATGGGAACTTCTCATTGCTATTTCGCTGAAATAGATTTAAAAATATCTCGTTCAAATATGAATCTACTGCAGTTAATGAGTACTGTACAAGAATCACTTGTGACTAGTCACTTACGATAGATAAAAATCTACATTCTTCTAACATTCGAGATGGCAAGATAAGTTAACCATCGGTAATTCAAACAAACTACTTATATGTTGAAATAAATCATCATTACTTACGGTGATAAAAAATTCGGTGTTCCGCACATTGTCTGATTTTTTGTGTCAGCTGTTTCTACTTTTTTTGCTAGTCCAAAATCGGCTATTTTCTGAAATAGAAAGGAAGTGCTATCAACAAAAAACGTGAATTCCGACAAAGGTAAAGGTCATAATGAAAACTTTTTAGCACAGAAATTGTAGAGCACCGAAAGGGCTATCCGATGGTAAAAAAAAGAATTTTTCCAACATCTTCAGTTAAGGCAAAAACATCAAAACCTAAACGTAACGGCGTTACGCACTATTTTTGTCGAGTGTTTTCGAGGGACTTAACATGATCAGAAGATTTTGATATTATACAGATAATTATTCATGCACAGTTAGCCAATATACGCAAGAATAAAGTCGCTACCTCGGGTTGGAGGGTCAAAAACTGTAAATTAAGTCGAAAAATGTACAAATATGTACAAATTTTCTAAAGCGCTGAAGCTCAAAACCAAATACGCCATTTTGTAGAGAATTAAATTTTCTACGAAACCATATGCTTAGAAATTTATTTTTCGAAAAGTATCTCGGCTAAAAATAGAAAATTCCATTTTTGAAATGTTCAAAAACCGGTTTTGAGACTCAAAAACCAATTTTTATCAAAAAAGCGTTTTAAACGGGTTCTTAGAATTAGAAATTACATCTAGTGATGTGTTCAAAATTTTCGAAAGCGAAAATTTTTTTTTTATAAACTTGATCAGCGAACTGTCGCGTTACGTGGACAAGCCAAGTATTCTTTTACTACTCTCATCAATTAGAAAGAATTTACCACTAAATTGGATCCATTCTCTATTTGCTATCTAAATCTCAGTCACCGTTGTCAGAAAACTTTTTTCTAGTCTCATGTACTTTACGCATCTTTTTTTTCTACATAGTACCTTGATACAATTAAAGCTAAGATAAACTGAGATTAAAGTAAAGAACGAACAAAAGAAATATAAAACGTTAGTATTGTCTGTGAGCGACACGTACAATGTTGTTGTTTTCTGTCAATAATAAATTTTGTAATTTAATATCTCGATGCAATATTCCACGATCATTAAATATTGTAAACCTTCGATAACTTGTTTGACATATACGCGAGCTAGAGAAAAACAACAAAATGATAAAACAAAGCCACTCAACTATGGATACGTTCTTTTGATCATATAAAATGTTCACATACTCTCACTCTCGCTAAGAATCTTCTTCGTTTTAAGATTTTTTTCTAAGTCTCCATGTTGACATAATTCAAGTATCAAGTACACATATTTTTCATCTTCATAACAATTGAATACTATTGAATACTATTAATTTATGTAGTTCAACTACATAAATTAATAAATCAAAAACATAACACGTGAGATAGAAGAGAATAAGAAATTTGCAACGTACATTAACAATATTTGGATGTTTTAATCTTGAATGTATTTCAATTTCGTTTTTTAAACGTTTGTGCATTAGACGATATTGACTAGGTGTTTGCTGTTGAATTTTCAGACGATCAATCTGTCAAAAACAAATGACTAAAAATTGTATTATAGCAGAGTCATTTACGAGCATACCATTTTACAAGCAAATTCATATTTATCAGAAAGACGAATTGCTTTATAAACCGTGGCAAAGCCACCTCGTCCAAGTTCATGATAAATAAAATAATCCTATAAAAACAGAAAGTTACATGGAAGTTTTTTTTCATCTTCTTTTGCCGACAGATAAAGACAATAAATGACATATGAGCCATTTTCTAATGCAGCAGCGTAGCTTTATCTAATAAGTTGTAGTTCAACGTTTAGAAATATGTGCCAGTTCAACATTACGTCAGTCAAATCCACGGGGAAAAAGTACTCTTTTTAGTATAGCATCTTTCAGCAACAAAAACTACCGATTTAGTCTATCAGACTGAGTCAACCTTTTGTTTATTTTCCCTGAGACTAAACATGGTATGAAGAATAAACATTTCAACACTTTCTAAAGTTAACCAGGATATACCGTTACAGCGGACTTAAATCAGAAAGTGTTTAGATAAAAAAAAGTTTGGACAATTGTTTTCTATTAAATTAAATCAATCAGCATCTTTTCTTTTTTGTAGAAAAAAAAATTAAAGAAAAGAGGACAAGAAATCCGTGTAATATTTGATTCGATCCTTCTATTTTGCAAGGCATCAGTACCTTACGGCATCTTAATCGGCACTAGATATTGCCTTTTAACCCTTGATCAAATCTCCATCTGGTAGACTGTTAGATCCATCTAAAACAACCCTCAAAATACTTACATTGATAGTTTCTGTTGATGGAAACATTTGCAAGTCACTGATACCTATATATAGCTGTTATGTTTGTAAGAGAAACCTTCGATTCATTTTGCGACTAGAATGTTGGTCAAAACCTTATCAATGAATGTGCTAAATCAATAAGCCTTTGTACTCCAACTGTTGTACAACAGTTTTTCTATGGATTACAAGCATTTTGATTATGCTTGAGTTTGCTATTCTTCAAAGAGAAAAGTAACCATTGAATTTGACACGGCCATAGAAATACCCAAGCACAGAAAGAAAGCTGACGTAGAAGAAATTCCATTAAAAAAAAGAAATTCAAGGTTTTCACACGAGTTAACGTATTATCAGAAGGATAATGTTTTTAAATTTACAATTACGCATAGATCCCGCTAGTATATGATAGTTAAGAAAAATAACCACTGGAGCCATTTATTTTGGGCGTGACATTTATAATATTAAATGAATCTAACACAGTATGCTGAGGTTATTCATCTTTTGCAGAAGGTTTGGGTAGCTTTTTATTTGATTATACCTTACCTTAAATGTAATATAAGTCTCACTTTTTTGCTATCATCGTTTAACAGTAGGGGTGGGACAGTTCCAGTTCCTATTGTTTCTAGTAACTGGTTAAAAGAACTGGTGACCAGTTACCGTTCGCAGTAACTGGGGCTGGACATGAGTTACCGTTTTCTGCGTAATCAAGATGTAGAAAAACTGATACTCATTTATCTTGTTTTTTATACTATAACAAACTCATCTAGTTCAGCTCCAACAGACGATACTGCCATGTTGTTCATATAAAGAATACATATAGAAAATTTTATTTGACAGCTTTTAGTCGTTACGAGCATATCAAAATGATTTTACATTTTCTCTAAGGGATGTTTGTTGCCCTATATTTTCTTTTAAAAGTAAAAAGTGCAGCCGATATCATAGTGTATGTATTTTTGTGACTAGGCAAGTGTATGTAGTACCATGTACAAAAGAACAGGGAAAAGGAGAGCCAACAAGGTGATGTAGTATGTATTTAGCGGACTAGATTATAAAGAAGCTTCTAGTCATCATGTAAACGCCAAAAGATTTAACTATATATAGTAAAGATAAGTGTAGATGCGCTAGGGGTGGGACAGTTCCAGTTCCTATTGTTTCTAGTAACTGGTTAAAAGAACTGGTGACCAGTTCCAGTTACTAGTAACGGTAACTGGTGAGTAGTTCCAGTTACTAATAACGGGAACTATCCCACGCCTATTTAACAGTTTACCATCGGGTGCTCTATTTACGCATAAAAGTTATAACTTGAATTAAAACAATAAGATGTATGAAATGTACACCTTCAAAATAAATTGTTCGTACACTGAAGTCTCAAAAAAAGCCTCATAATTAAAGCCATAATATCGTTTCAGCATTAAAAAATAGATAGAATTTATTTTTTCTTCAAACTTCAACATGAGATTCTAACCGGACATACACGATGACAAAAAGTGAAGTAGAAATAAAAATACAACTAGCGAGGATAAAGTGGTCAACGAAAAGTAAAAAAAAATAAAATGAAAGAGACTAAAAGGCAACAAATTTTATGATGTAAATTAGTTTTCGTAATAAATAGAAAGACGAAATGTTCGAAAAAATTGACAAAAATAAGATCAGAAAAGAAAAAGATGGAATCACAGTTCCTTTTGATATAAACTAACGAGAAAACTCTACAATAAACTAATTAAATACTTAGTTATTGGTTATTAATTAAACTAATTATAACCAATAAACTAATAACAGAGATTGACAAGAAATTTCTTTCTAATAATTTCTACCAGCTTCAAATAATGATTGTTGACCAGCAATGCTCTGTGTTCCACCTTCATATTTACCTTGAGCAGCCGAACAATTTGCCTGAAAATTGAAAAATAGATAAAGTTTATCGAGTAAAATGTTCACTGGATTTTTATTGCAAAACTAAGTGTTGCATTTCCGTTTTCAATTCTCTTTTAATCTTTTTAAATTATTTCTACAATAAACAGTAGGCCTAAGTATGACTAGTTTTCAAAGAAATAAAATTAGAAAGCAAATACTAACTTTTGCACGTCTAATAAGTTCATCTTGTGCTTGTTGAACATTATCTGATTTTCCTGCCCATTTTGATAAAACTGAAGCTTGTAATGCTCGACCATATGAGAATGTTAATGCCCAAGGTTTTTTACCCGGATAACGATTAATTGCATTTAAATTAATTGAAGCATCTTCTTCGGACTGACCGCCTAAATAGAGACAAAAAAATGCATTTTTAAGACAAAAGAAAAATAAAGTGAACGTTTTATATTGGTAGCTGAGATCATCTTACCGGAAAGAAAACCAATACCAGGTAGGCTGGTGGTACAGTTCGTTGTAAGGCAGTTACAGTTGCTCGTGCAATATCCTCAGATGTATATTTTTTCTTACAGTCAAAACCTTAAAAATATAGAATAATATCAACGTTGTAGAAGAAAAAAACACGGTGTCAATCAATTTTACCGGCAGTAACCATATTTGGTTTTAATAATGTTCCTTCTAAGAATACATGATGTTCACTCAATGCTTTATACGTGGCTGCTAATACTTTTTCTGTAACACGTTGACACGTTTCTAAATCATGATCACCTTCCAGTAATACTTCGGGTTCAACAATTGGCACAATGCCATTCTAAAAAGAACAAAAAGATATTAGCATCTGCTACTTTTAAATTAGACGTTATGCATACTTGTTGACAAATTGATGCATAACGTGCTAAAACGTTTGATGTTTCTCTTATTCCTAATTCCGATGGCAAGCCGTCACCAATTTTCAATGCACAACCTATTACGAAGAAAAAATTTAATTAATTTTAATTAACATAATATTTTACATCTACTAACGCCATTTTGCAAAACGAGCACCATCTTTATAATATTGTGCACATCGTTCGGATAAACCATCCAAACCTCAAAAAGAAAGTAATCATTGTTGTTTTATTTTGTACGATCGACTATTTTTGCATCACAGTTTTCTATGCATACCTTGGGTAGTGTTTTCTCCGTTTGTTCCAGCTAATGGTACTAAACCTTTATCAACTTTAATGCCAGGAATGATTCCTTGTTCTTGCAAAATTTCTAAAATATTCAAAAACAGTATAAATCTGAATGGAAAACAGGTGGAATGAAAAATATTGACAATATGGATACGTTCGCTACTTTAAGCCAATTAAAATGTCGAATAAGAAACAGATAACTTACGTCGGAATGGTTTTCCACTATCATTATTTTGATAAAGTGTTTCGTGAAAGAGGATTACACCGGATATACTTTGAGCTAAATCTTTTGAGCCAGTAAATAATAGTTGACGATATAATCGACGATTTTCTTCATTATTTTCTAGACCAATTGATTGTAAACGTTTGGCCATTGAACCTAGAAGAGAACAAAAAAAGAAACTTGAAATTCCAAAACTGATGATCCTTTCTCGAAGATTAGTTCCTTTTGTTTCGTTTTTTGATAAGACACAAAAAAGATAAACATACCTGTGCTTTCATCAGCAGCTAATAAACCTTTGCCTCCCTCCAACATACGACGGGCTGTTTCAACGAGTTCACGTTCTTTTTCGGCTGATAAATAGATAGCCATACTAAAATATACAAGGGAAGATTATTAACAGTTATAGAATTTTTATCCTATTATGATTTGTCAATCTGATCAAAACGCAGGTGACACTTATCGCACTCATTAACTACCCGTATTAGGTTTTCTCGTCCGTAAAATTTACAGTTTGTGCAAAATTATAGACTCATCTGTTCAAACCCAGTTGCTTGCTCACTCTTGACTACTGTACACTCTTGTACAAAGAAAAATCTTTGTAACTATATACATTCGATTATGCTCTATCCGAATATGAAATCAGATTTGCTCAATACGACTTTCAAGTTCGATAAAATAAACGTTTATTGAAACCCGTTGTTTTTTGCCTGTTCACACTTATAGACTCGCTATCGTATTTTCGTTATTTTTGTATCAAACCGACGTTAATTTGGCTCGAAAGTTACACAGACAGATAGAAAGTTGTTTCTGAACAGTTTTGTAAAAAAGACTTTAAAAAATGATCTATATTTTGATTATTATTCAATTTTTTTATTGGACAAGCCCAAATTGCTTGAGAACATCACCCAAATTCAGTATTTTGGCTACGAAATTTGAAATAGAGACTGGACTCATTTTTTTTTGACAACGAATTCAAATAGACGTCCCTTTTTCTTTCAAAATGAAAGGTTCGCGAGCTTGACGCTCCGCGCGTCATTTCATTGTAGAGAAACATATCCGTGTCAAAACACATACCACTTTTTTGCAGTAAAAAAGCACAGAAGGTTTCAACAGGTGAATCTATAATTTTGCATACTACTGTATTTCACTGCAATATTAAGCGCGCATAGAAAATGTTTTGAAATAATATCATCCTTATCTTATCAATAAATAATTGATCAGAGCAGTAAAAGGTGTATATATACTTTGATTTGTAAGTAAAAATTTTTTGTAATATCTCGTTGTCGATAGGTAAATAACCGTCCGCAGCTAAACAGACTCTTTGTTGCTGCTGAATTGAATACTTTTTTACACCGGTTTCTGTTGTTGTTACAACTGTTGATGGAGCTTTACGACAACGAAATCTAAAATGGTAGAGAAAAAAATTTCGTTAAATCTAACATTACATTATACAGATAAACAAACCACTGGATCACAAGCGCACACAGATAAAACTTGTTCTCTAAGATCCTTTTTGCAGTTATTGTTAATTATTACGAGAAAGAAATATACAAAGTTTGCCTAGATTATCCTGTCACTAAACGAAATAGAGTTCTAGATGTGGAAATAAAAGTTTTTTTTCTTTGTTTTGTTCTTTTTATTTGTGCATAGCTCTCTATATGCACGTAAGGAGAACGTCGATATTTTTGTTCTTCGTAAACTAAAAAAAGTCAAGTCATTCTGTCGGAAAGAAAAGAATATCTAGCTTCCATCTTTTCTTCAGCTGATTTAAAAAACCATGTATATGTAAACACAGTCAATATACATTTAACGTAACAAAAACAAAATGAATAGGAAAAAAATATTTATCCAAGTTGATCTACTTCAAACTGTGCAGGAATTGTAACAACTAGATTAAATTCCGCAAGATAACTGACTGCATAGCTAACAAACGAATTTGAAGTTGTAAGAAAAAAACTGAAAGATCGAGTATTGTTTACTTCTACACAATATGACAGTATTATAGGCGAAAGTTAGTATTCCGAGTATTAACTTAGAATAATCTGTTCATGCTTGTGAAAAAATAAAATGAACTGATTTACATACTTTTTTGTACAGTTACATCGACATTTACAGGGGGAGTGCATGTAAACAATGAACTGTTTTGGATAAAATAATTTATTATCAAATACATTCACAAAATATCCAATTTCAAATAGATAGTTTAGATCATTTTGAACGAAAAATAAAGTAAGAAATAAAGATTTTTTTATTAAAAACGTAATTTTTAAACAGATAATTTTTAATTTCTAAAAGATGTTACTCAGGATACAACAGCGAGCTCTAAGCAATATGACATGCCGTAGTTCCGATGTAAACAATGAACTGTTTTGGATAGAATGAGAGAATTAGTCTCTTGTTCATATAAATACGAAAGTATAGTGATCAGCAAAGCCAGAAGATGTACAGCTATTTTATTTTAGAAAAGACTTTTAGCATAATGTTTTGAACTGGTGCCGGTCTAGATGAAGGTGGTCAGCCCATTCTGTTGACTGATGACACGTTTCATGAGCCTGTATTCATCCAACGCTCTTTCTCTCGTTTTCTGTGTGTCGCCCAGTTCTAAGACTTTAACAACACAAATTTCAGTTCAAATCTATATGTTTATATAATTCTTCTATCTTTAACAAATGTGGCTGAATTTTCTTTTAATAAACACATGATGACACTAAGTATATGCCATCTTTGAAAGGTGTGCTAATCAGATGTAAGATTAAAGAGGCTTTGTTATTACGAATGGTTTCCTATAAATAAATCAAAATAGAGGCTTCAAAAAACCATATGTGGGCCGCAGAAAGTCTTGCAGTACAGATCCGTTCTCTGAAATGCAAGAATTCATTTTATTTGTAATACTGGCAACCAGAGATGGACAACTCCAACGCCGTAGTTAAGCTTCTTTTTAGTGGAGGTGGAGTTGAGTTGGAGTTGCGTTTTTATTAGATTAGAGCTGAGTTAAGATTTTTTCAACTCTAACTCCACAACTCCAGTTAAAAATCTGCATTTCACTGCTTTCTGCAGTGATCACATTAGAGTTGGTCGAAACAAGTGTCTCGTTTTTCCTTTTCCATGTCTATTTCTTTTATCATCTATTCTTCCTCTTCTGCAGAATTATCTATTCTCTGTGAATCGACGTTATAGAAGAATGATCTGGAACAAATACACAGAAAAGAAAACGAAACCTTATGTCGACGCACTGGATTATTCTTGCTCACTTATCCACACCGTGTGTTGTTATAACCGCTGATATTTCTGTAAAATTAGAAAATACTTCAAATGGCAACATGTAGTTCGTCTGGTTCTCTCAAAATAAGTTTCTGTCGCAGTTGAAATGGTGTTGGAGTTGGAATCGAACTTAGCCGGAGTTGCCCATCTATAGGTCAGCCGGGAAAGGGTCTAGAAAATTATTCCCTTGACTTTATATCCAGAGTATTCCAAAATACTTTTGCGTTCTGTCTATCCGCAAAACATGGAAATAGAAAATATGGGATAACAGATCATAGGCTGACCAATCAGCACATGAACAACATATTAATGCAAAAGAGAAAGAAATGCTATGCAGAAACGGCGCCAAACATGAAAGACTAGCTAATTTTCTTTATATAACGATTAATCATATCTCTGCTTGACTCTGGTCTAGAACGAAACATTGTATCTCTTTATCAAAATCCTAATGATGAAAAAGGCAAATAGCTTATCAGAATGCAGATAAATAGACAAGGCTTGGTGTTTAGTTCGCTACAAAAGTTTTATAGAACACATAGCATTTAGTCCTAGCGTATCTTAACACAGCATAACTGAGAAATGTTGTGAATTTATGTGATTTCACAGAAAAAGGGCACAATGTAATATAAAGCTAAAAAGTTTTCTGGACACCCACTGAAGATCCGACAATAGGCTGCGAGTGTTTCTGATCAATTCGCCATGATAGATTATCTGTTTTCTGTAAGTTTTATTATCCGTATACGACTTTTTTTGTGTTATCAAAATGGACTGATTTCTGGCGACGTCTATCTCCCAACCACAGAAACGTTTACTTAGTTTTTTTTCTCTCTGCATCAGTAAGTATTTTTCCAGTCATCTCTCTGAATATTTTCTCCCTTCTGTAAAAAATAATTTTCTACTTCTCTCTCTTGTGATTCGCTTATCCATAGAATATTTAGCACCCATTTTTCCGTATTTTGCGCACACACACAGACAACCAGTTTGTAAGAACCTAGACTAAAGTCAAGGGAAAATGTCGGATCCTTTTGTTTCTGTAACGGTTAAGCATGATGTTGGTAGCGAAGCAATATTAATTCCTTCGTCAAAACTTAATGCATATCTACCACCGTTGATCAAAGCAACAAAAGCAAATGTTTTGATAACGTCAAATCGAATCCTCAAAGGCATCGACGAACAGTCATACAATTATTGTACAATTGCGTCGTCTCTTTCTTCGCCTTTGGTTTTTGTTCTCGATCAACTTAGTAACATCGAAATCGAAACGAAAGAAAGAGAATTAGCTGATCGACTAGAACAAGAAAGTCAACAAGCATCGAAGATTGCTAATGAATTGTTGGAAGAACAAGAAAATCTCTCGACAAAACAACAAAAAAAAAGAAAAAAGAAAAAAGTGAAGAACAAACAGATGGCGAACAATGTAAGTAAGATGGATCAGATACCATCCGACACAGTATTCGATTCTCTTTTTCTTCCATGTGCAAATTCATTTCATCAGAGTAGATCTATTCGACGAATAACAGATCAGTTCTAACCTTTTTCCTTTTATTCATTGCTAGGTGACGGCCACGCCGGAACTTCGTCGATCGGAAGTGAACATCATTTCGTCGCCTTCACGCACAACAACGAATCAAAGTGACCAACAGAACATACCAATCTGGTGTGATTCTAAATACATTGAAGAAAATGATTTGGACAATATTCAATTTGAACATGATGAATTGGTTGATGATCGATTTGATAACAATAAAGAAGTACCGAAAGACAATCTACTCAAGGAAGGTCAGTCCACATTTGACTTAATCTTCGAAGAAACAGAACTCTTTTCCTTCGAGCAAAAGTTTAGCTCATTTGTGTTATTTCATTCTAAGACAGATGGTGATTTCTCGCATATCCACAACTTCACGAGAAACTTTCCCAGCTGATAAAGAATAAGAAGCAGATTTTTAAGGTAAAGTTTTTCTAGCATCTCACATTTCACAATTTTTACTTGATTTAAAATGAGTTTATTTCCGGATCAAAGTAGATAGTGAGTGGTGATTTTTAATTCGAATGCATGATCACCGAATTGATCTCTGAAGTCTCATAAGTGCAACTATTGATTGATATTTTTGACTATCTGTTAGAACAAACCGATTAACTACTGCCTTCATTTCTGCTTCATTTGTTGATGAGCTTCGACAAACTTTAAAATTTCATTTAATCTGATTTTCTTGTCACAACAGACCGGATACTATTAACTCGATCCTTGTTTGACAAAACATTCCAAAAGTAAAAATCTTTGCCTTGATTGGCGTTCGTCTATCGAATTATCAAGTCAAAATTACAGTTGAGATTGTATGAATCCCTTCGAGAGCTGCTGGATAGATCTTCCAAGACATTCTGTCGGTGAATGAACAGCACGTTTCTGTCATAAATGCTATTTCTACGAGTCAGTCTCAGGTTAGAATCGAATGAAGAATGGTTTGATGAAAAACTCTTTCAAGAATTTTCAAATAACAACTCGAGTAGATATGCTTGAGTATTCGAAATTTTTCAATGATTTGCGAGGAGTATTGAGGATTGTATCTCGTGCCTATCAGATTTGCTTGGGTGCAAATAAATCACCATCGTAATTTCAAATGTTGACGTTTTAAGTTATGGTTCACACGAACCTTTTCCAATGATTATTGTCTAATAAGTCAAGTTCGCGTTTCGAATTCCAGAGAACAGTCATAGAAGCAGAACGACATTTCAGTAAGAATAGAGATTGGTAATTTCCTTCAGAATCGTCTATCATTTGTACTAATCCTGCGAAAGTCATTAGAAAAAAACAAGCCTATCTATGGATTAGATCTTTTCCTCGGAAAACGTTTTGATGTTTACATGTGAAATCATGGTACTCCTTGGTTCTAATAATTGTATTTCTTTCCTTCATTAGATATTAAACACGAAGATTCAGTGGTCCATCGTCAGTATTCTCAAGATCAATTCGAACAAATTCTTCGTCGATTTGACCAAATGGATTATCGATTTGTCAATATATCTCAGAAATTAGATGATATCTATGAATATTTATCATCTGATCGTATAATCAATGCCATTCAACATAAGTACTTCGTTGAACTTCCCGAACCATTGTGCAGTCGAACATACTCAGCATTCACTTCCAAAGTGATGCGTCGTCTCTTTGCTGCGTTTGGATTACAATTTCAAAGGGAATATGAAGACTTGTGGTTAAAAACCTATCCACTATCAATTCGACCTTGTTTTCGACCAGACTGTATTCAAATCGATCTGTTTGGTTTTGCACGTCTTCGAACAAACACCTATCTTCCTTTTATCACATCACCGAATCTTGATCCTGTTGATTCATACAATTCATACACAATATTAAAGGAAAAAGAAAAAGAATTCCGAGCCAACCAAATTCTAATCGGTGAAATTACAACGTCATGTCTTGATTTTGAATATACTACCCAAGAATCAATAGTAAGTTTTCGTGTTGATATTTTACTGTTCTTCTTTATGTGCCTATGTGCCTGTTTCTTGTTTAGTCCAATAATATATCAACGAAACGATTGATTGCAAAAATACTTCAACTTGAAAGAATACTTCATTTTTTAATGAAGTTTTATTATCATCCAAGTCGTTCGGAAAATTTCATTGTCATTTTATCCGGTCGTTTCAATAAATGCCGGTCGCCAAGTCATATTCTCGACTCATTGATGCGTAGCGATTTAACTGTTACATTTCCTTTACTCTTCCATTTGTATGAAAAAAAACGTTTTTTTTTTTGCATGATTAGCATTAGCATCAGAATTAGCAGATGTACTTTTTGCTTCTTGTCTATCCCGATTAAAAAAAAATCACAGCTATATGCTCATTTTTTTGTTGTCTTTGTTGTTAAATAAAAAATTCAGAAAAAGTGCGATATGAGAGCATGTTTAAATGCTCGGAAATCTGTATCTTTCGGTATAGTTTAATTAAAACTCAAGAATAACGTCAAGAGACATGTTGTTGCGAGAAAACATCGATGCTCTATACTTATCAATTGCGTTCGTATTTTTCCACCAAGAATATCTGCGCCTTGGGCAAACAGCAGGTTCGAAGACAGAGAACAGTCATCAAAAGAGATAACTAGAAAAGCAAAGCTAAATATACAAGTGGGATACTAGATTTCAGTGCTTCCAATAACTAATGATTCGACATGTATTTCAGTTTCGATTCCCGGAAGGATATGAATTTCGATATTCTAATTCTACCCTAGAGTAAAACTGCAGATCTCTATTTCAGGTATCATCAATGTATTAGTTCACTGTTTATTATGTTACATCTGTAATTAGTAAAATAATTTGAATAAAAAATAAATGATTTGATTCATCGATGATGTTTGGTTTTTTTAATTTTTAAGAATTGCCATTCGTCGATGTTTATCAACAGGTCAATGGGATAAAACTGAATATCAACCCTGTTTTTATCCAGAGGTATGGGAATTAATGAATAAATATTATGTCAATAAATCACCAGGAGAAAGACAAGTTAGTTAATGATATAGAGAATTTCATTTTTATCCTTATTATGATGACATAAAATATGTCTCTTTTTTTTATAGGCATATACAAATATATTGCATGCAGTCAGAATTATTGAAATAATTGGTTTATCAGTATCATTTATTAGTGTTGTTCTATCATTGTGTATATTCTGTTGTTTAAAATAAGACATAAGTCCTATTCTTCTTCTTATTATTATTATTATTGACTATTTTGTTTATCGGGTTTTTTTTGGGATAATATATGTATAAAAATGACTAACAAGATATATGTTTATTTATTTATTTATTTGTTTGTTTATTTTGTTTAGATCATTGTATTGGAATCGACAAAAATTCATATCAATCTATTAATTGCTATATTATTACAAATAATTGCTCCAATCATTACTTATAAGTAAGAAGAACATGGACATAAATAATCATCAATTATTGTTGTTATTATTATTATTATCATCATTTGTATTTTAGAATTGAAATAAAATATACACGCAGTGATAATAAACGTATGGAAAAAGAACAAGGTATTACTGAATTACCAAAATTCATTGTATGTAATCACATGACTTTTCACTTTATTCTTCTATAATCAATGATGTTTTATTGTTTTCGGATATTAATTTGTCCATTTATTGTTATTGGTTTACAATTTGGTATTAGTGCTATGTTTATGTGGATGTTAGGTGAAGGTGTCCACTTAAATAATGTTTTAACTGTATCTGTATTTAAAAATCGACTAAGAGTACTCTATTTACATTTAATTGGATGGGATATGTATTGAAAAAACACACACACATTTTCATTAAAAAAAAATGAAATCAATGTTATCAATTATCAAATTGTTATTTAGGTGTACCATTTTGTTTAACATTCAGTTGGAGTATAGTGATGTTTGTTAAAGAACGAGATCGTCAATGTTGGTCAAACTATAATCATTTACCCTATTATTGAATTATTGAATTATTGAGGGACCACGTTATGCCGTTATGATTGTAGGTTTGTTAAATTACATCGATATAAGAAGTAATTTTAAACATATTCATAGAAATATCTTCATTTTATTTTAGATTAATTTTATATTTTTGCTCAATATTATTCGTGTTTTAATTGCTAAAATCAAAGAAGAATCAGAAAAACAAATAAGAGAAAAGTATTCTTCTTGTTCTTGTTCTTCTATTTCTATTATAATAATACTAATCATCATAATGTGCAAAACATATTGAGACATCATTTGTTTTGCACATTTTTCTTATTTACTTGATAGTATGTAATCGAGATGATATAAAGATGTATATATGTTTATTTAGCGGTCAAAAGCGTGGTTCAGTTAATACCAGATTTGTTCGGTAAAAATGTGTTACTGGTATTTGATGATTCCTTTACTTGTCACATTATTTTAGAAAAGCCGTCAAAGCAGCCATATTTTTATTACCATTATTGGGTATCACCCATATGTCAGAAACATTTGTTACACCACGTGAGTTATTTTCTTAATTATGCTATTATATCTAACAAAAGTAATATTCTCAATTATTGTTGTTTTTTTCTTTTTTCTTTTTTAGATAATCAGTTCATTGTATTATTTGCTATTTACTTTTTTGTTACCTATTTTTTATTAACATTTCAAGGATTTTTTTGTTTAATCATTACTCTATTGTTTTCTAAATACAGAAGTAATATTATGTATTCTTGGTTGAATACAATACATACTCAGAACTATTTTTTTCTACCAGGTTCGTCAAACAATGTCTCGTCGTTTACAAACAACTCGATTTTGTTTTGGATGGAAAACATGTTTACAACATAAAGGTCGCAATAATAGAGAACATACAAGAATGGAATCATTGTTACCACAATCAATAACAACTCCAGTATGTGATCATTAAAATGTCTATGATGTCAATCGTCTTCAAAAAAAACAACTCATATTGTTTATTTAGAAAAAAGCTCATCTAGAAATGAATAATCGAGTCAATGGTGAAAGTAATTTGACTAAACCAATTCTTCAACAACCATAGCGCATGTAGATCAGTTTCAATGATCAAGTTCTACATCACTGAAATTTTTCTTTCATCTCAACTAGATGCATGTTGTATATTTTTTCGTGAAGAAAAAAAAGAAAATGTCAAATTTTTGCTGTGATTGTCTTGTGACTTTGTTTTGTGTGTATTCAATTTGCTTTCGTCTTTGGTACATAATTTCTTTTTTATTGATCCGCATGGCAATGAACATATGGAACAAATATGTACAATTAATTTTTTTTCTTTTTATAAAAAAAATGAAGTAATATATACAAACTACTCATTTGCACAATAACGAATAAGAAGGGATTCCTTGTTGTTAATCAATACTTTCCTTAATCCAAATAGACCATAAAAGATCAGCTGCAATTTCTTTTACTAAATGGATTTCACACATATTTTAGTAAATGTCACTGCTTTAGAGCGACACCCAACGAATCAACGTCTATCATCTTCTACTCGAACATGGCGTTTACGAAATTGTTCAAAAGAGTCAAGTACAACAACTACGATACCACTTTACACTCATATATTTGATATTCAAACCACCATGCCATGTATTCCTGGTTGTATTGAGTTTCGTTATAGTTTAAATCGTACATGTGATTTTCATGGCCAATTAAATGTGACACTTGTGCATATGAAAGAAGACAATGATATTAATCGTCAAACACAAAGTTCAATATCATCACCTTCATCATTGAATGAGCATGATATTTTAGCTGGTCCATACAATTTATATGAATATTTTGAATCAACAGCAAATGACAATGGTTTGATCTATTTGACGTCTTATGAAATGTTAAAATACAAATCAAAACGATATCGTTTAATCATTGAAGCTAAACCAATATCGTCACCGAATCAACAACAACCACAAGCATTTCCAATTGATATTGTGTCATTAACACTAAGACGTTATAAGAAAAAATCATGTCTAATTTCACGAATTCAACTGTTTGAGAAAGATACAATTAATTGTTTAGTGAATACATGTCTAAATGCAGAATCGAATGAGAAATTGCTACTAACATTAGATCTATTGAATTTTATTCTATATGCATTAAGTAAACAAGGACGTTTTTATGAAATACAGCAACTATTTATCAATCATTTGGATACATTTTTAAAAGAAAACTTATGTGAATGGTACACGAACAATTGCGCGTAAAACATCAACATTAATTTATCTTTTATCAACAACAAATAAGAATGATCAAACATTAACATTTATTAAAGAATTTTTAAATCAATTTCAGTTAAGCATTATTTTACATTTTAAATTATCTGCATCATTAAAATGGTTTTTTGTTGTAATTGGACAATGGATTTTAACTTATCCAAAATTAATTTCAAACAAAATCCTAACAACATTATTAGATCTATTAAAAATAATTACCAATAAAAACTATTATACACAAATATTAAAATCACGGTGATAAAAGAATATTAATCTAATTTGTTTTTCTTATAGTACTCTTTTTTAATTGTAATATTCATGCATTGCAGATGATGCTTCTGAAATAATCTGAGATGAACATCATATCATGTGCATATTTATTGCATTGGAAATAAGACTAAATATTTTTGCATTATTTTAGGTTTGGTTTGTTTCAAGATCCATTCGAAATAGATTTATTTGATTTTGATATGTCAATATTTTTGGAATGTTGTTTAAGAAATCATGAATTATCCTCGAATGGTCAAACACTTACTTCACAAGCGACAGCTGTATCATCAATTGTATCAATTGGTGGCGTACATCCTGGTACTTCATCAGTCAACACTGCTGCTTCTGAAACATCATTGTCATCATCATCGAATATACAATATTATTTATCAAAACTCTTGCCATTACCAATATCATCATCGAATGTTTATCTTAAACCCATACTTGGTCTGTCAGACGTATTATCATTGAATTACATATTTCATTCAGCAAGCGATGGTTCACGTCTAGAGAAAATTGATACAAAAAATTTATTAGCATTGAATGGATTTGATTCAAACGTTACAACAATAACTGGTGCACATACACAACTGAATAATCATCCATTCACATCTTCTAACAATATAGAAAATTATTATAATTCTACATATATGTTGCTATCACAATTAACATCTACAGCTGCAACTGGAATACCACCTCCGCCTCCATCTCCTATGATGCATACCTATTTAATACAAGATGCTGGTATTGGTTTAACTAATTTTGATAAATTGAATAAACAACAGCAAGAAAAGTATTCAAAATTAAAATACACAACTATAACAAAAAAGAATAAAAGATTATCCGACTTGCTTGCGTCAAAAACTCCTCGAAAGTACCTTTATCATCAACATCAATCATGAAAAAGACCGAACAATTATCAAAAAAACATGAGAATAAAAAACGAAAAGTCAGATCTACTACAAATGATATATTGAATTATATGACAAATACAATGACCAGAGGACAATTTCCAACGGTGTATTAAGTGACTGTCGATCGTCTTTATCCAGATGGAAGAAGCTATTTTATTCTGGATTTTGGACAACAGGTGGACAAATTCTTTAGATATTTCTGTTATAGAAACTTAAACGAGTTATGTTGCCAATAAATTTTTAATTTAAATCTCTCCCGAAAAATACTAGATCAGTCTCAATAGAAGACCGGTCTGAGACGACATTTTTCAAAAAATGCCCTATGGTTTCGCATATAACGGCGATTTTTAATTGGAAAAAGTGCGATATGTGAAACCATTATTTGAAGGACATAGTCTTCTATTCTGGAGGAGAGAGGAAGGTATTTGGTGTTTTTGAATTTTTCTAAATCAACCCTTACATTCACAAAGTAGCGATCTACCGAAAAGAGAATCAGCAGGACTATATCTGGGAAACTTTTTACCAATACAGAAATTTTTTTCTCAGACTGCTCTTTTCCGTGAGAGATTTTTTTGGTATGCCATTGTCTCAGGAATGCTATTACAATTAGTTTTCTGTTTTTTAGGTTACATTTACTGATATTTTTATTCCAACTTGTTCTAAAGTTAGCTCACTGACTCTTGATTTTTGGTCAGTATCAGAACAAACTGATTGTCAACGTTTATTTTCAACAAATCAAATCTCACTCAATCCATTTTATTTGAATGATATTCAACCACCTGTTATTGGACGTTATGTAAAAGTAACATTAATCGGAAAATATAATGTTTCATCATCATCTCTACGTTTACCGTGTAGCTATTTTTTTGGTTATCCATTTGTAATAACAAAAAATAATCGACAAGAACAATTAGAAAAAGATGAAAATAATAAGAAACAGTTATCAGTAATTGAAGAACATTACGAGACAATTGTTGTCAATTATTCATTACATCGAAATCGTCTAGTTGATTTATTGAATAATTTATCACCGACTGATAATGACAATGTTAATAATACGATTAAAAAAGTTTATCGAGAATGTTTATTTTATCAAATGCAAATGAATATTGCACGTAGAAATATCGAAAAATGTCGACAACTAGTAAAGCAAAATGTGAATGATGATGAAAACAACGAACAACATAAGAAAACACGTATGTCATCTGATTACATTTGAGTTCTAGTCGATCTTATGACAAATACCCTAACATCATTATCAGCTATTTCAAAACAAAATCAACTTAAGTTAGAATCAGACAGTGTTCACAGGTAAAATTAATCAAGTATTCAAACGCTGAGATCCCAGAAGAAATGACTTAACTAAACTATTGTCATTTTAATTTCATTTTAACCCTTTAAAGCCCAATGTCCATTTGAATGAACATTGCCATTATCGTTATAACAAACTAAGAAAGCATTGTTGGGAAAAACTGATCTTATATCGGTTGTAGAGAATTAAATTGGCTATCAAATGGTTAAAAGAAAATTTATTTATGTTGTATGCTAGCTGAGATATTCGAATTTTAAAATAAAGAAGATTTAGAAAAAATTCACTTTTTTTAATTTACTTTTTTCAGATGCTTTAGAAAAGGCTGTTTGTTCAATGACTTGTCAGATATATGTAGGAAGATGTGCTCTTTCAAATTATGTCAGCTGAATAAATTATTGTCGGAAACTGTAGGCTGCTGATGGTACAAAACGAAAGGGCGTATTTTGCTGGGACTTCGGGCTCCGTTTCTTGATCATTCTTGATTTTCTTCACCATCTCAGCTCATTTTCTGTCTCAACTTCATCAAATATAATGGTCTAAACTTAGATACCTTTGGTCTTTGGTTTCTAACGGGAATTTTCGAAAAAATAATTTTCTTCGAATTTTCATTGTAAATTTAAATTATAAAACATTAACTTTTTTAAAAATGAAAAGTAATTTTTTTCAAGAGTGAGAAAGTCATATCGAGGTCTCATATGTTGCATTTTCATAAGCGGTTGACCCAAAACCCCGCGTTGAAGCCTTGGGGACTTAAAGGGTTAATTTAGAACAAAATCGCTTCTCCCATTTATGTTTCTTGAACAAATAGCTTAGCAAAAAATTCTGAATTGTAGAATAACAGTTCTTTTTTTCGTTGAAAAGAGAAAAAAACATGTTGACAGTAAACTTTTAAATTAGGTTCTAATTTCTTTTTTAAATTCAACTTTTCTAAAAGCCTTTTTCGGATATTTGCACAATTTTTAACGTTTAAACGGTAAAATACCCAAATCCGCCACATTCGATAAGATTGAGTGTTCATTTTGATCTAAAGTCGTACTGACATTGTTAATTCATAATCTAAACAAAAACATTTTTTTATATTAGTAGCAGTGTATATTCTGACGTATTACTATAAAACTGCAGCTATTTTTCGGCTTCATCTTTTTATTTCAAGTATAATTTTCTGTGGAATTTTCGGCCAGAAAATTTCTTCGGCCAGAAGTTTTTTACTTCTTTAAAGAAGTAAAAAACTTCTTCAGTGTAATTCTCTAGATTTTTGTGTTGATAATGGCCGTTACTGGCCGAAAATTCCACAGAAAATTATACTTGAAATAAAAAGATGAAGTCGAAAATAGCTGCAGTTAATACGTCAAACTGGATTTTAAAATCGTTGCCCTTTACTGATATTGAGCAGTATATATTTTTCTCGAATTTTGGGAACGGTTATAGGTAGAGAGCCAAAAATTATTTTTCGATCATCATTTGATATTATATATGTTTACTGGAATTTTCGTTAAAATCGGATGTCAAAATAAAAGATGTTTTCTCACTGGAGGAGTTACCCTTGCTATATGCTTATAAACTGACAACTTTTTCTTACAGTAACTTGTATGAATTATTTGACTATTCTGTTCGAAGGACTCACGATCTGTCGCTGGATAATGCATGGAAATTATTTGCTGAATATGGTATAAATCATCTATATTTAAACGATATGTTTAAACGTTTATTGAAAATATTTTTGTATTATTCATGGTGGCCGGAATTTGTACAAATATGTTTGCAGAACTATTTTGTTAATGATTTTAAAAATATTCATTTTTCTTATTATAAAAAGAATTTATTTTGTTCATTAATTGATTTATGGGAACAAACACTGTTACCAATGATATCGCTATCATCTTCCAATGTTAGTACTATTCAAGATCTATTATTGTATACACAATATCGTCGTTTATCATCGGCTTATTCTAATTCAGTCCTTGAACTAATTCATACATCAATCGATAAACAATCGTTATAATCGTTAGAATGGTTATTATCGTTTTTACATCGTTTATCCGATAAACAATTGATTCCTGTTCAACTAACTAAGAGTATATTGAATCGTTTAAAAACAGCTTTGTATCGTTCGAATACGAATGCTACTACTACGGATATAGAAAACGATGAGAATGATCAAACAATGAATTTAGAACAACCGTCATCCTTAAATAATGTTCCTATGACACTAACCTCACCATCATTCGTTTCAAATTTAGAACATTTTCTTAATACATCATCAATAATTCATACACCACGTTCCAATTCCATTGACAATTATCGAAACAAGAGAAAAGAGATGTTAATTAAAAAAGCAACAAAAACAGCTGTTGCAACACAAACAATATTAAAAACGTCCGCTTCTACACAAACAAATTTGTCGTTATTAACAAAAAAAGAAAATAGTGAACAGCCAGCAACCACTTGGTTTAATCAAATGAATGTGAATGATGTTTTTGTTGAACAAATGGATATTGATCAAGAAAATTCATCATTTTTATCTTATTTTTGCAATCGTCAGTTATGTTTAAATGTGACACGTTCATTAGTAAAACTTCTGATAAATTCATTTCATAATGATAATAAAAATATTAATAATGACTATGGTAGTTCAATACCGCATGATTTATTTCTACTGATATGTAAATGTTTATCGAATATAACACGTTCATGTTATCCAGTATTAATATTAGATGAATTTCTAACCAATTATCAATTAAAATTATTACTCGGCTATTCATCTGGTGAAATTGTTGACAAGGAAAAGAACATTTACATTCGACAATCCTCACCGTGGATACAACATGCAATCAATGGATTATTACTTGATCTTATCGATAACGAAAATTTTTCAGTAAGTTTCAAACATTTATGACTAATCGATATTGCTGACAGATCCTGAAATTAAATTAAAGAGTCTTTCACTATGAGTGCCTCGATTATTTAAGAGCTCACACGCAGTGACTAAAGCTACTGAAACGAAATTTCTGAAATGAAAATTTGACTAAGTTAATTGAATTGAGTTTTGTTTGGTGTTCAGCGCTTTCTGAATTCTACTGAAGTCTCGAGTTTAAATGAATTTTAAATATTCGAAATCAGTGTTAAAATTGAATATGAGAACTTTTGTTTAGTTATTTAAGAAAATAGGTCTTCCTTAGAGACTGGAGGACACCAAAGTCTTAGTTGTTGAAGCAAATAAAATGCTCGCTAAAAGCTTCAAAAAACCTTATTATACTCAATTTTTAACCATAATTCCAAATGTGAAGTTTATTTTAACTCAAAACTTAAGTACAGTTCAGAGTAAAGTAGACTAGAATCAGCTGCGATTCTCTCAGCTATTCTTTACTATGCCAGGGTTTTCTTTTCATGATTTGCCAGACCTAAACTTTTAGTATTGACAATAGAAAAGATCGAGGATTCATTCAATCAACCGAGAGAAAAATAAATTTTAAAAACATAGAAACTACATAGAACTACAAAACATAGAACAACGTGTAGCAGATACGATGGAATATTCACATGAATTTGTCAAGTCTAAATCATGTGTCGTTACTAAATTATGAACTTTTGAATTTGATGGTTTTTCTCTCTTTGTGAACTTTCGTTTTTTCAGAGGGATTAAATTGATTTTAATAAAACAAAAATATGAAATTTAAAATTTGATCATTCTCTATTGTTTCATTTTTTAGGAACCTAATGAGAGAAAAGTTAATAGTATAAATGATACAATACTCAAAGAGCAACAGCATTTATCTGATTTTTTGCTTTTGAAAAAACCAAGCGAAGATTCAACAAATGCAATGGAATTATCATCTACAAACGATACTACGGATGGTGACAACGTTTTAACTGGTACGACGGATTTAACGGATATTAAATCGCTTGAAAATGATAAATATATTGATGAAGAAGATGATAAAGCTACGAATGAGAAAGCAAAACCATTCGAAAAGAACTCTTCTGCAATTAAAAATTCGAAAAAGAAATCGAATAGTAATACGTCAACATATTACTCTCCACAGCAATTGTATGGATCAAT